AAGCTCAGCCTGAGGTCATCCTAAACTGTCCTCTCCCTCCTGGCGACATGTGCCCTCCTCTCACCTTCAGATAGTTGGCGACGAGGCGGCAGGTCCGTGGTTTCAGATGGAGTCGACGACGGGGGTGGCGCTTCATCGATTTCGTTGCAAGGCCGGAGATCGGCACCTCGTTCCAATCACTGGAGGCGCAGCGACTCTGATGGTAAGTCCCGTCTTTCTTCCCTCTGTTTGTGATTGCCGGATTTGGTCGTTTCTGGCGGCGCTTCTCCTCTTCTGGCGAGGCCGCGCCTTTTGTCGTGGACTGTTTGAGGCGGTGCTGGGTGGCGTGTGTGTCGCCAGGTGGGGTGGGTCCCTGATTACTGCGGCAATCCTTGTCGTGGCGGTCGAGGGGAGGGCTGTTTCTCTCTTGCTCTGTTCCCCGTCGACTAGTGGTGTTAGGAGGCGTGGGAGGTCCTTTCGATCTCGTCTAGTGGTGTTAGAAGAGTACGAATGGATTAGATGTGAGATGGACCGCGCTCTCTCGGTCATGGATGGGTCGATTCGGGGACTGGTTCGGGTTAGATTTCTACTACTGTATAGGCTTGATTGCAGTTTCGGTAGCTGACTCCTGGCCGGATTTGTCTTGTATTGATCATTCTCTGATGGTTCGTGCTAGCTCGTTCGTCGGGGAAGGGTTGTTAGTTATTTTTAGTATTTTGTGTTGTTCTTGTTCTGTGTTTGTCTTGGTTGTGTTTGTTTTGTATTTGTGTTTGTGTTTTAGGTTTGGGCGGTTGCCTCGGTGCATCCGGGTGTCAAATTTAGTACCCTGTGGGGGTCCGACGCTCGGAGATTACCCTGTGAGGGTCGTGTGTTGTTGTTGTGTTGTTTGAGTTGTTTTGTTGTATTACCCCTTGGGGGTCGTGTCTAGTTGTTTTAGTTTTGAGTTTCAGTTCTAGCATTTGCTAGCCGGGTTTCTAGGCGGTCTCATGACCTGTCCTCCCACTTTTCAGCCTTGGGCTGCTTGTATTTGCACATTTGTGCGCTTTTGTTATATAATATCCTCTATCGTTTTGGAAAAAAAAAAGAAGTCAAATTATGGTCAATCATTAATGGCAATCTGATAATTTTGATCATATTGTGGTCAAATATATGTATTTGACCAATAATTAAGGGTAGTTTGGACATTTAATTCAAATCCAACAAGATTGTGGGACCCACCACTACACATTAATGATTAATATCAACATAAATTACGGACACCACACCTACCCCTCATTCATCTTCTCCATCACTCACACACACACATACACACACATATTACACAGCTCCGCCGCGTCTCTGCCATCTCCGGCAGCCGTTCAACCGCCGTCACCAGCCGTTCACAGAGACCACACGCGAGCACACACAGTTCACACACACCCACACACACGCGCGCGCACTTCCCGTAGCCGCCAGAACCTCCATGAATCTGATCGTCGAATGCCCCGTTGCCGTCTGAATCATCATGAAATTGGCCGCCTCCATCATCGCGACATCTCCGTGTTCAAATTTCAAGGTACGGCGGACAGTTGTTCGAAACCACTATTCAACGGTGGTCTCTTTGCCGTGTTCTGGGAGCTCCACGATCGTAGGGGCGGGTCGAGGACGCTGTGGACGATTATTATGCGGAGACGATGAGCAGTCTTTGAACGACGACGAGATCTACAATTGCAGCCGGAGATGGTGTCGCCGTGTCAGAATCGGGGTCGGACATGGTGAACTGGAGCATCTACACAGTGGTCTACGGTGAGATTGATGGAGTCGAGAGCCGCCGTCGAGGCGGCGGCATGCGGCGGCGAATGACGGTGATGAATATTGGGTGCGGGGACAGATTTACGGATCTTGGATTGGGTCATATTTTTGGAAATTAGACATGATGAGGGGACTTGTACGCAATTTTAACTTTTAATATATTTACAACTTAGTACATAGGGCCAATATGTGATATAATGAAAGTTAAATAAATGCACAGTATCTATGAATAAGATGCACATTATTGGTTGGGAAGATGCACAATAAAAAAATAATAATATTTTTACATAATAATAATAAATAATAATAATAGAGTTTTGTTGTTATCTACATAAAATCAAAGAAAACGTCAAAAACTAACAGACATAATCGAGTTTTTGAATGTAAAGAATGATAATTGAACCGAAATTTTAAAATTCGAAATGAAAATTTTGGTTTCGACATAATCGGTTTAATTTTTCAGTTAACATAAATAATCGAAATAACCGATATAAATTATATTATTTATTGTAAAAAAATGATTAGTATTTAATATTATTTTTATTATCTTTTAATTAAAAAAATTGTATATATGTAAACGAAACATACGGTGCAATCTAATAATTATTAAGGTGCAATTCGTACATCACTATGGTGCACAGGTTTGGTCTGTATTGTGCAGATTGAACCAACCGATCTCTTGTCCCAAATTAAAATGAAAATGAACATAATTATTTGATTTATTCGGTTCGGTTAATGGAATTATACTATTATATTAAAATTATATTTATGTTAATAATTTTATTTATTATTTTCATATTATTTTTGGCTGAATTTTTTTATTTCAGTCGGTTTCGCTCTATATTGTGCAATCTGATAGTCGTTATAAAGTGCAACGTGTTATTTTCTAAAGTGCAACGTATTGTTTTATAAAGTGCAACGTATTTTAATAAATTCAAATCCCTAATTTGAATTTATTATTGAAATAATTAAAATAGTTTATTATTTATATATAAAAATATATTTGATATTTTTTGGTTGAAAATAATATATTATATATGTTAATGTGTTTATTTAACATTTATATTATTTTTGTTTGAAAATACTCTAAACAAATTCAAAATTCATGTTTTCATGCTATTTGATAAAGTGCAACGTATTATTTTATAAAATGCAACGTGTTGTTGTATAAAGTGCACTACCATAATTTTGGTATATTAGCGTGCTTGTGTTTTATGTGGACAAATGATGTGGTGGATGTTAAAATATTATGTAGATACATTTTTTAAATTTATGTTGTATGGTATTTTGGCGGAAATTATTAACGTTAATTATTGGGTTTGGTGATAAAAATGTAGCTTGTTGTTTTATAAAATGCAATGTGTCGTTTTATAAAGTGCAATATGTCGTGTTATAAAGTGCAACATGTTTTCTTATACAGTGCACCGTTTTTTTCTATAAAGTGCACTACGTATTTTATTTACCACTTTATAGTATTTTTGGTTAAGAACATAAATGAAATTAACCTAAATAATTTAGTTAATTTATTAATTATATTATAAAATATATCTAGTATTTTGATATTTTTATTAATATTTTTATATGTATTTTTGTTGAAAATGAACAATATATATATATATATATATATATATATATTTGCATAAAAAATTGTTCGAAAAAATCCCCCTGAAGATTAAATGTTTGAATGTTTCAAAGAACATATTGTTTATATATATTTTCATAAATTTCATATTAGACCCAAGGACTAAATTGAACTTCAGTAAAAATATTGAAATTGCAATTGGATCCTTTGAAATTGTCAAATTCTCAAAGAAAAGACCCCACAATCCAAATTCATTCTTCGTCCTGTCACTGGACATTGCACATCGGCCATCTTTCCCGGCGACATGACGAGGTGGTAGAGAGCGGCAGATTGACTACGA